GACCTGTTTTATGTGTCTACATTCATGCATATATACATATATATATTTATATACATATATGCAAAATAGGTTGCAGCACATTCCAAACCTAATCAACATATGTCAAACGTCGACGCTTCCATTTTATTTATTTGCCCATATAAATTAAGGACATGCATATGTATGCAAGCTGCGTTCATACATCAAACGAGCTTCTGTCTGCTATTGGAGCTATAAACATTTTAACTTACACTGAGCGAATAGCTCAAGCAACTTGTTCTTGAGGGCGAACCGAGCTGGGAGAAGGCATATTTTTCTTTGTATTATTTTAGGCAATTTATTTTAAAGATATCTTCAATGCTTGAAGCACTTTCGATGTTTATTTGGGGCAAACTGCAAGCAGAAACTGTTTTCCCATTTAATTATTGATCTTTCGGGTTTATATGTTTTACTTGATATCTATAATTTAAATTTGAAATGTAAGGAAAGTTCATTTATGAAATTGACCCTCGCATTTATAGAGCGCACATGTGTGCAAAGGGCTAAGCATAAACATGTGCCATTTATTAAGCGTGCCACCTGACTGCAGTAAAGTCCAGATATACACTCTGTGGGGGTGGCACGGCTAGCTGACATGCGATTTGGGTAGCATAGAACGACATGCAAGAATTATATGGCCGAGTCGAGCAGTCCGCAAACACGGGCGTATACTAAATTAGATCTTAAATCATGTGAGTACTAAAGAGACAATCATTGAAGTGAGCAGCTGTCCAGTGGCCAATGCATTGGCAAAGCAAGCACCTTAAAGGGTATCTGGCGGTGCTGGTCGAGTTTTGTGCAGCAGTTGGCGACACCTGCGCTGACACTCATGTTTAATCAATTGTAGCTGGTTCAGAAAATCCATTCAGGCGCCAAATGGGTTCAGCTCGAGTCCATTGGCAGGACAACGCTCAGTCAGTGTTGAGATTTATTAAATTTGTTCGTTTGTGGAGAGAAATTGAATTATGTACGCATCAGTGAAGTAAATCGAATATTATGACTGAGCTCAGTTGAATGGATGCGAGAAACGATATGCTTAACGTTTTATTGTCGGCCTTTTTAATTGTAATAAGCTGGCGTCTGCCTCAGTGTCTGCCAATGTGAAGTGAAGCCACGTGTGTCAAGGTCACTGCCTGCTGAGCAACACACCTTAGCGTCGTAAAATCGTAGAGCACACACTCATTCACACTCACACTCACACACACACGGACACATGCATGAGCTGGGTCACATTGGCTTGCGGTCGTAAACTTTAGCACAATATGAAGGACCTTGGCAAAGGACTCGCTAGCTGCGAAACTACTCGATGGCTATCTTGTCACTCACATGCATCCATTGCAAAGCTGAGCATAATTTGTTTTAACTGTGCTCGCATGACTAACAACGTAATTGAAAAAGGTAGCGAAACAAAAGTGTCGGAATTAACTGACAATTCCAACGAGTAAAGGGAACGGGAACAACAATGGCCCATAACCGCATTAGAGCGCGCTTCGATTATGTAAAGAAACTTTGCAGCAATTAACTGTGTGATATGCATGCGTTGCGCCTGGCAGAGATTGATAGCACAAAGAGGCATAAGCTGTTCATTATAAGCTGCAATGTATAATGGCAGCTGATGGTCAGGTTGATCGTAACGTAACAAAGCAAAGGCTTAGCACATCAAGTATACGGCACGGTGTACACGGCGCTTCAACTGCATGCGAAATTAAAGTGTTCTCTGAGGATTTACCTTAAACGGCTGCAAATAAACACAGAATTCTCGAAACTTGTTATGCAAATACAATATAAATATTATATAATATATAATTAGTAAGCTGGAAGCTGGAAGCTGGCCACTATCAGACTATGCCATGGCCAGCCAATCACAAACATATGCAGCAAAACTGAGCAGAGAGAATATTTTAATTAAAAAATTATAAAAAAGCGTGAACTGCTAAAGCGTGAGCCCTGCGTAAGAGCGAAAGAGTTATGTGCTAAATATGCAACAACGACTCATAACCACATTACGGCTGATTGCCAGCTGCCCAGGCACACTGTACTCTGATTATATAAAGAAGCTGTGGAATTTTGTAATTATCAACATGGCAGGAATAGCTTGTTCCTGGCATAGATTGATGGCTCAAAGGGCAGCAAGACTCAAGCTGCTCATTATTTAATTGAATACCAAATCAGCTACAAAAATGTTGCTGATTCATACAAAAAAAAAAAAAAAAAAAAAAACCTTAAAACAGACTCAAGAAAACAAGAAGTAAAACATAAAAAGTTGAGACTTAACTCAGAAAATATATTTGATGACCCCTGCTGTCTGCGAGGCACTTCAATTTCATAACGACAAATGCAAAAGAAATTTACTCTCTATGACACCAAAAGTCAAGAATTGGCATCGCAAGCCTATAAATACATCAGCGTGGGCGAGCACCTGATAAGGTGTGTATGGAATGCTCATATGTGTTGCACAGAAAATAAGCTAAGCGCAAAATTTACATCGAATTCAATTAGGTCTCAGTGCGTTTGGGTAGTTAGGGAAGTCAGTTACCTTGGCAGGAAAATAAATAAAATATGGCTAAGCGTAATAAATGAATTTCAATTCACTCAGCGAATGCTGCGCAAAAACGTTTAATATTTTGGCCGAAAAAAAATGTAACTGTTGAGCCACTCCAAAGCTGCCGGCCACGAGCCACTTGCCGCCAACAGCGCTTGGGAAAGCGGCGAATCCCCCACGGAAATACCACTCCTATAAAGCAAGTTGTAAAAAAAACATTTCCGACAAAGCGTAAAGCCCAAACAAAGGTTTTGTGAAAAGTGCAAACCTAAATATACAGCAGTTTGTAAAAACAATTTCAAGTGCCCCAGAGCAAAACAAAAATACGTTGCCTGACCTCAGTTTGAGTACAGGTAGTTAGTTGCCCTTATGTGAATACAAAGGAATTATAAAAGCGAAAACTCTGTTGTCTCTGTGCTCTGATGTGATGCCTTGTTGAGTTGCATAAGTAGAATTTAAGGCAGCTTTAAGCTAACTCTTAATTAAGTTTAATTTATGAAATTCTTAATAATTTGTGCATTGAGTTGAGAAACGCGAAATTAGAAATTAAATTATTAGCTCCATGTTTTGCTTTTTTTTGCTACAAAAGGACAAATGCAATTCAAATTTTGACAGGCTGAAATTAATGCCAATTCTGAGTAATCAAATGACATATATATACTTATATACTTATATATGTATATATTGGCTGTCAGCGACATTTCAATTAAATTTCACTTTGAGCTCGCTGAAAGAAAATGAACACAAATATTTGAGATCGGCAAATGCCTTTAAATTAATCATTACAAATGAAAGTTTTGGCTGCAATATTAAATTAAATTGAGCTCACTGTTATTTGCGCGGTATCACAGACGTGACGGCATTAACATTAACTCCACAGGAATCGAAGGTAACCACAATAAATCAGCGTATTGTTCGCTCTGTTGAACTCCTAAATGCCAAGAGGGACGCATAAATACGAGCCCAGGCCAACTTTAAAGGCCAAGCGACAAATTGTGCTAAAAAGCTTTGGACGAAATGAAATTTAATACAAGCTGACATGGCCGAAGCCAAAGAAATGTAAATAAATGAAGAAAAAAACTCAAATTACAAAATGTAACAATTTATTCTGGCATAATATTTCTAATAGCCGGCAAAGAAAGAAAATGCTAACGAATGCAATTATATTTTAATTGGCATTGGAAATCAAATACGGCCCAATTACTACATATTTCCCGTTAGTGCTGAAATCTACTGGTCTGCCAGCCAACTCCATTGCAGCGCCCTGGAACTCTACATTATTATCAGTGCGTGACTGCAAATCCTATTCGATTTGAGTACGTATTGCCTTTAATCAGCTCAAATGGAATACGAAAATGAAATATTATTATAGCTCACACACGGAATAATTTCTGATGGCAATGCAACATGTTGCAATCACAAACATTATGTATTGTATTACTTCACAGCTTAGGGCGGATTATTCCTAGTACACACTCTGTATTCCAGCATCAAGCATCCGCCACGTTGCCATCGCCGTGTGCAGCTCATGAAATTTTAAAGCAAAATTAAATCGACTACCGAGAGCTAGTTGCTTTCTGTGTGTATAGCACCTTGTAGAGCATTGTTACGTTTCACTTATTCTATAGAGTTCAATTGAGTAACGACACTTACGAAATGTTGAAAGCCAATGCTGTCACAAGTTGTTTTCATTGTTAATATATATATATATATATATATATATTTTTTTTTTTATTATTATAGTTGATATATGCGTTATTTATTTGCCTGACTTTCTATTTTACCGTTAAAGCTCTATGGAATTTCCGCACACACAGCCGCTGGAAGCCAGCAGCCCTTATCAATGAAATAAACAACCCTCAGCCAGACCTTTGTTCAGACTGCATGAACACTGTGGTATCCAGGGACTATGTACGTAAAGATGTGCGAAATTGACCGAATTTCATGAAATTGAAATTTATGAAAGCAGTTTGTGTTCTGCAGTGCTCAGCACTGTAAAGTAAATGCGTAAATACAGTCGTATTTATATACACACATACGCGTACATCCATGCATGGATGGAGACAGATACTTGAATACCAAAATACCTGAAAACATTTATACATACAGACATACATACGTACACACGCATACAAACATTCATACACACATAAATACATACACACATAAAAGTATGCATACATACAGACCTACTTAGTAAAAGGCATGTAACGATATACATTCAAACATTTAATCATACATCTATTCATATGCATGTGCATCCAAATATTCATCCCTACATACATCCATACACACGCACACATCTATACGTTCATCATCATTCATATGTATATCCACATACACTCATCCAAGAATTCATAGACACATACCTACATCCAGACCACATATACACACATTCACACAAATACAGCTACTCACATATCGCAATCTAAAAAACTGATTCGGATTTTAAAGTTTATTTTCGCATAGCTTTGACAGCTCCGTCAAATATTTCAAACATCAACATTACATATTTCACAATTGCCGTTCACCACAGTCGAACCGCCACGCCTCACAACAGTGCTGCGCCCATTGCTGTAGCCCGGACGATTAACAATCACATTACCATTGGAGAAGCTGCGATACTCCTGCCCATCAATGTACACCGAATCACCATTTGGATTGGGACCTAGTGGAGAACAGAGCTCAAAGATGGTTTGCTTGAAGGTATGAATGCAACTGAAACTTACAAGTCAAACAGACGCCATTCACCACCACTGTGCTGGGATATGCTGTAAATTGAGTATACGCCACAGTGACCACAATTAGCATTAATCAAGGCGTAAACATTGCAAATTCTCACCGCTGATTAGAGCCGGCAGCGCCGCCAGCAAGAGTAATCCACACGCCAAGTACTTCATTTCAGCTGCAGCCAACAGATCTACACTTATAGAGCTTATATAGCAATTTTTATAGTATTTACCCAGTGAATCAAATGGAATTTGCATATTGTCCGTGTGTGTATGCACTCAATGTTATCGCTTGCAGTTCAATAGGTGCCGAGCCAATGTGTGAGCTGCTGGATGCACTACTAATCAGAATAGATGCACAGCCGATTAATATAATATAATATATATAGGAAATATTCATCAACTGATCTATGGAGCAGATAGTTTCGTAGCGTATGCATTTGGGAAAAATCACAAATTTACCCAAGCCTGTATAATATATTTACAGTAATATATAGATAATCACAAAAAAAGATAAGGCATTCTGGCACGCCCATAAACACTTTGACATTTTAACAACCCCTTTTTTGAAATTCAACTGAAAATCCAATTTGCATAATTAACATATTATAGCTTAATGATAATTCCAAAGAACCCGACCTCTCCTATAACAATGCAAAACAAAATGCTTTATCATAGACTATGGCCAAATCTATAGCCAATTGTCGTGACTGTCAGAAAACTCATTTCATTTAATGCTCATTCAATGGACTCGATTCGAGTCGACTCGACTCGGCCCGTCTCGTAGTGCACATCGATTAGACGCTAGCTGGAACAGACAGAACGGTTTGTTTTAATTATTGTTGTAATTGTTCTAACGTCAGCAACGCATCTCAAACAGACTAACGATGGTCAGCACTTGAGTGGAGTATATTAGCACTTTTATGAACTGCTTATGAAAACAATATTTTCATTAGCTCTTCATAATTGTAGTATATGAGCGAGCATTGAGTAGTCGAGTGCGCCCGTTCAAAACATTCTGACTTGTTTATATTTAATACTGGGCATTTCCCTCAGTTTGATTAATATATTCGTGTGTCTAGTATATACACATGCATATAGCTCGAACTACCGATAAGATGAACGTTGGCAATTGAATCGCAAAATAAAAAATCACAGAGAATGTTAACGCTGGCGTATAAAAGTCAACAACGCTTATGTCAGCCAGCCAGACCCCTCTGAAACGGTGACATATAAGGAACTCGAACAGTTCAGTGGAACAAATACAAAAGCATGAATAATTTTCCAGCGGTGCTTGCGGTTTTCCTGCTGCTCACTGTGGCATTGACAGAGGCCGCTGTGTACATCGGAGGCGGATGTTATGACTGTAAGGGCGGCGACTGCAAAGGGCTGAACACACAAAGTAATCACAAATAACTGAATGGCATTCGCAGGTAATCCGCCCGGTGGTCAAGGGCCAGGCATATATACGGGAAATGGTGGAGGCGGCCGAGGCGGTGGTGGCTACTATAACCCAGGATCTGGAGGCGGCGGTGGCGGACGTCCGGTTTACTCGGGAAACTTTGGACCAAATGGTTATAATGGCGGTGGCCGGAGTTACAGTGGCGGCGGTAGAGGCGGCGGCGGTGGCGGTGGCTACGATGATGGCTTCACGCAAATCATAAGCGGTTAAAACTAGTATAGTTGTTTAAATATACACTTAGAAAAAAAAAAAATGCAGCACAATATTCAAATGGCCACTCTGCACAAACTTCAAGCGCAGTTTCGCAACGGCTGCTTCAACTTTTTCAATTAAAACAAACATTTTCAATGGGGCTTCACGGCGTCCGAATAGCTGTCAAAACAAAGTTGCTTGCATGAATTGCAAAAACTAATACGACTTCATTGCGAAAAAAATATTAATTACATTCGATGCAAACTTCATGCTGTTTATTAATTTGCGCATACGAAGGCAGTCGATAGAGAAAACACTGGTTGATTCTTACTGAGAAAGCATTCCAGATTTATGATTGAATTTCTTTTCACACACTGTTATAAGTTCCACAGCATCGCTTGGACCTGCTGCTTCAGCTTCAGACTTAGTTCTAAATTGCTATTCGTAGGCGATGCTTTCTAAGCTTATCAGCTGAAATAGGTTTATTAATAATAGATTTCTCTGAAAAATTGCAGACGTTCATATAATTCAATAACTCAATCATGAAATGTGAATTGAATCGAAAAAGTCGTGTCCAAGATCTTTATAGGTATTAGATGTGCTTATATAAAAGTCCGTTACTCGACTTCAGAAAAATCCTCTTAAGGGAAAATATAGATAAAAAGAGATATATATGTATATATGCGGGGCAACAGTCTTTGCAGTTCATTTACGATTACTTCTTCTGTATCTTTTGTGGTGCTTCATGAGTCGACAAGTGTATTCAACATTCGTTATGCTAAATATTTCATCTCTTCTATTATAAATCTGCAAATATTTCTTTTGAAACTTTTTAACTTGCAATTTCATAAAAAATATTCCCCTGCTTATGGCATTTATGACATTTTTCAATTAAAATTGGAATTAGTTTTTATTTGTTTTGCATTTTCATTAAATTGAAAACAAAAAATTAATAAAAAAAAACAAAAAATTGCAAACTTTTGGCTATCATTAAATTCAGTCTAATTTAAAATTCTATTTAAACTGACTTCAAGAGGCAATGCTGAGCCTTAAAAAAATTACTGCGCTTTTCAAACAAGCTTTCAATAAATTCTCGAGTATGAAACTGACCTAATTTGTATCTATGGCACGGTCCACGTAGCCCCTAATGAAATCGGACCAGCTTTTATGCTGGAGCTTGCAGCATCATTAGCTTTATTAGTGTGATGAAAAAGCAATTAGGTTGCCACTGCGAATCGAGGGCGAATAGTGTATAGGTTAACGATCTATTGACCGTAATCAATACGGTTGGCCATCTAACCGTGAGCCATGAATAGCAAAATTTATAAATAATTCCGATATTGTGTGCTATGCAAGTTTAATGCAAATGGCGATAGGGAATCGTCTTGTATACAGCATTGCAGTTTCCCCTTGAAACTTTAAACCTGCAACTAACTAAAACTACTTATGCCTGTGCATACATGTTAAAGCTACTAACATAACAAGCAAATCCTGTTCCTAAATGCAAACGAATACCAGGAATGTAAATAAATGATGTATGCATGAAGTCAAGTTTCGATGGAAATTTGTAACATGATTATATAGTAGATACCCTTTAAACAAAGAGTAGCAGAACTTGACTTTCTTTGGCACTTGAATCAATATTTAACTTAATTCGTCATTTCAACTTCTCAGCTTCACTTAAAAGCTTTTCGTCAGCATTATTCAGTTCAATGCAAAAATATTGGGACTGAATGCCAACATTGTGTGGATGTGCAATTTTCCATTTAAGCCTTTCATGTGGGCGTGTGCATTCAAAGGAAACACAGCATCACAGCATGAATACGAAGACTCGAGTTGGTTTAAATACTCTGGCGAGTAAATATCAAAATAAAAAATATTTTTGGCTGCCTGCAGCCTATGTAACATATGTCGCATTTCACATTTTTCTGATTCGACATGTTAATACACGCTTTGTGTCAAAGTCGTAAAGCTCTGAGCCTTAACTCCCAGGACGCTCTGTTCTGCTCTTAATGACAGGCTACACACGGCAACAAGTTATTGAGTCGACAGCACGAACTAATTGTCTGCTCTCGCCCATTAAGAATACAGTCAGCTCATGTAAAATTCACAATAAAAGAACTCCTCGTAGCTAAACGTTTTCTGCTCTGATTTTGCAGCCGCATGCCAGGCACAAGTGCATCCTTTGGCATGCTAATGGGTTTGCAGGCGTACGGCACAAACTCGCTGTTTGAAGCAACTAAATGAATATTGATTTTCGTTGAGAGTAACATGACTTATTCACTTATAGGTTCAGTAACTCTGCTCGGGTTTAGTAACCTGAAACGCACCTAAATTATTACACACGTGCGCTGATATTTGAGGCCGCACTGCGCCATTTCCAGTGTTTGTGCCAGCTAAAAGTTTGTCGGATGCTCGGGCTACTTACTCCTGCTGGTAGACAGCTTGCTTAGCTAAAAGTTTGCTGTCAGACTGCAAATGGCCTGTGGAATGAATTCAAAACCATGAAGATAAATGAACAGGAGGTAAGTGGACGATAAAGTACGCAAAGTTCAAACTGAACACGTGGCCAATTCTGTCGTATCTGCAGGCGAATCTTAACTTTGTCATTTATATATATTGTATGTATGTACTTACAAAAGCTCTCGGCCTTGTCAATCACTTCGGCACATCACTCATACGTCCCGTGACTTTGGCAGTTGTTAATAGCCGACAAAGTTCATTTTCACTTGCAATAAATCTTGGCTAAATACATTGAAGATGTTTCACAACTAAGGTCAATTTTATTCATTAGACATATACAAGAGATGTAAGGAAACGATTAATGTGCAGCTTAAGAACTAACAAGTGTCGCTGTCCGACCCAGTACCCACCCAGGAGAATCACACACCCATTCCCGAAAAACTCAATGCTATGCATTTACAATTGGACAACAACAACCACAACCAGCAACAGACCAAGGCCAATTTACTGCCGGATGATGCAGGGCAGGTAACGCTGCGCCATTACAAATGCAACGGGCAATAGACTGATCCAGATAAGGGAGACGCGTGCGGCATGGGCGCACATATCCTCCAAATGGCGGCAGTTGCTGAAGTGCTTCTCGTCTGACAGCATTTTGGCGGTTTCGCGTGCGAACTTGGCCGAGTTCTTGTAGCACTTGTATCGGGCGCTGTTGTAAATGCAGTTCTCGTATGCGAAACGTGCGCTGCAGGTAAATGATAAGCAATTAGTCATCCACGGGCAACACGAGCTCAATTAACCTACCAACAAAACTCCATGAATTTGTCGGTAACGTTGCGTTTGTCGTCATGCAAATCATCGGTGAGTATGTTCTCGAAGTCGGTGGTGCAGCTTATCCAATCCACCTGTATATACGTAAAGCAATCCTTGTGCCGCAAATAATCTGCAGGGAACGCGAGACAAGATGCAAAGTAAAAGTCAATGTTAGCATAGAAAATAATTACCATTCTACTTTATCTATATAGATAATAAATAGTAATTTATTTGTGCTAGAAATATTTTTTAAATGCCTTTGGTAAATCATTTCTTAAAAGACATAAGTTTATTTTTATTTATTAATTTATTAATTTGAAATTATTTATTTATTTATTAATTTATTTATTTATTTATTTATTTTATTTTTTTTTTTTTTTTTGTGTTTATGACAGTTGACTGAATATATTAACACTAATATGGCAATTAATTGTTGCTATATTTATTTATAAATTGTTTTAATTTATATTAATGTTGTGAAACTAGGCAATTAAATCTTACACTTGTATATTAATTATTTATCAATTATCATCTATTTTTGACGTGCTCTAAATGTCCACTCACATTTATTTTCTTTTCTGACTCCCGCTGCCCCCTTAATCACTTCATATCAACGTCACGAATCACAGCAAATGATCGATTGCAGTGAGGCAAACTCAACTGAAGCTTTATCTAACTGCATTGCCTGTTTTTTTTTATCGTGTTGCTATCTATATCAATTCCTGCCCTTTCGTATTAATCTTAATTAAAGCTAGGTGCATTAATGCATTTGTATCAACTTACTTTGCCACAGTTTAAATAAGTCTTATTGATTTCTTCCTATGAATATACTTTCTTTATTTTATATTTTTAGCTATTTGTTTGACCAGCAAAACAACAGTTCTTAAACTTTTATTTGATACCTTTTTATGTATGTATTTTATTTATTTTTATTTATTTATTTTTTTTTGTTTTATTTTATTTTTATTTTTTTTTTTTTTTTACTTATCGTCTCCCTTCATAACTTTTGATATTTACTTTTCTAATGATGTTCTTCCACTGAGGCATAAACCTACTGATACTTTGCCAATTTTCATTTTGTCTCCAGTTTCAATGGATTTTTGTTTGAAATTTTAATCAATATTTTTGCATCCTGCTTAACGCTGTATTTCTTAAAATAAAATGTATAATAAATTATCATTTTCATTAAATTATTGTTTGTCTGTTATCAAACACAATATAAACTAAATTAAAGCGAAATAAACACATTAAAAAAAAAATTTTTTTTTTTTTATTTTAGCTTTTTAAATCAAAGAAAATAAAAGTTTAATTTCAAAATGAACATATTTTAACACATTTTTTATGATGTGCAGTAAATGCATATCTAATTTCATTTCATAATAATTTTGATACATTCATACGTTGTACACGCTTTATGACAAAAGAAAATTATACAAAAAATATAAATAAATATATTTAATTCAAATATAGATATAGATATAATTAAATTCACGCAAAATTTAATGCCAAATAATTTGAATTATTATGTGTAATGAATTAAAATAAAATTTAAGGCCTAATCTCTGTCTCTATATAATGTAATCTATTTATTAATAAATTCACATATAGTTAATTTATAAAGCGTTCCATTTCGTAACATTAAATTGCAATGCGTGGCGCAATTGTTGCATTTGTTGTTGTTAATTACCCTCTGTAATAGATTCTAATATCTGACCTGCAGCTATAATTGCATATTCATTAATTATTTCGAGTTATTTGTCACTATTATCAAAGTTGCCATGACTAAAACCTCAGTGCCAATAGCCATACATTTTTATTGATATATATGGATGTACATAAGCTTTCACCTTAAATGATATATACTGACTTTTTGAGCGAGCCAATACGGCTATACTCAAATAGATATTTCTTAAATTTGTTGTCTTAATAAATATACTCACATAAGACATAAGACACAAAACATTGACTTGCTTACCTCGCTGAAAGTCCTCATCGGCACAAAACTTCTTGAAGAACTTGCGAGCCCCGTCGATATTGTTTTTATACAAAATTAGCTTTCGGTTCTGTAAACAACGTTTCGAGTAGGCATCGAAGCACTGCATTCCGCGATTGAAAACTCTACAGCAAAATTGTGATTATTAATTACATTTAGCTTATAAAGAGTTTTTATGCTTTCATTAGACGAGATTCTTTTTTTGTTAATTGGTGATTCATTTTCCAAAATTGAATTCCGCTCGTCAATTTAGGCAAGAAAGTGAATTTTGCCTTCATTGAAGGATAATTTAAAGCATTACTAAATGAGTGAAAAGTTTTTATTTATTTCGGCTTTGTTGTTCTTTCTGATTATTTTCCACTCCATGCTAAATTGCTGGCGGTGCGGTCCGACAGAGAGAACCCTTTTAATAAAGGGAAAAAATTTTTTTCTTTGCACAATCCAAGTGCTAACACAAATTAATTATGAAGTCCAGGAATGCTTAAGCAAATACCAAACCATCTGAGTGGTTAATCAATAAAATATTCGCCTAATACCACCTGCGAAGGTGTTTTATTTATAGTAACACTCAAGCACACAGCACAGCACAGCACAGCACAGCACACAGCACAGCTCACATCCAATCACACTTAATGGCAACGTTTTCGTAAGTGTTCGTAATCCGCCGGGACTTACTTGCACTTTGCTATGATCTCCTGCTTGGTGATGACAATTTTCGTATTCTGAAGAAACTCCATCAAATGTGGCGGCAGGTCCTTGAAGCAATCGTCGACCATCTTCTCTGTGCTGCCACAGCTATTCGCACTGGACAGCTCCTCCTCCAGGCTTCGAGTTTGGTTTGCTGCCGTGCTGCTAACTAGCATAAAGCACCATAAAACCGAAGCAAATGCTTTCATCTCGCACATTGTTGCCGTCGCTTTAATTTCGCTACTTGTACTTGTTACTACGAGCTACAATATTATTGTTCGAAGACTAATTCAATGCTCTGCGTATTCCGTTCAGTTTTATTCCTTACAATTCGCCTGCTACCGAGCAACTGAGCGTGTTCTGTCAATTCACGTTATATTTAAGGCTCCATCTGAGCGCCACTCAACTTCGGCCCAATACGGCGCATGCCCTGTGGCATCTCTCTTCGCTTTGTTGACAATCCTGTGGCAAGCGCCCCGTCCCCCGTCCCCATTGCCCCAATGTGTATGCACGCATAATTAAGTGTTTGTAGACTTTAACAGATTTTCAACCTCGGTCGTGTTTAAAGCGAGCAGAATTTAATATTTATTTATGGGCTATATTTATTTATGTCTGCTCTGAAATTGCAGTCATTCCTTTAAATTGAGCTCTTTAATATTGACTTGAGATATACTACATTAAAAACGGCAGGTAACTTAATTTATCAACTTCAAATATTTACTGTTAGCAATACGGTACACATTTGCTGCTCTCTTTGCATTTGCGGCACATTAAATTAATTTAAATGAACTTTTCCATGAGGGCACTTAGAGATGAGAGGTTTTGAGTTTGAAAACTAGCTAATTGTTTGCCCAGTAACAATTATGTTAGTTAAAATGAAATTAAATTTTTCATTAGTGGAAACTTTTCCGCCCTAGAAGCTCAAGTTTCAGAGCAGCCTTTGCTGTGCTAATAGCTTGTAAAGTTGCTTAAATGAGTCTCTATGTAGGACAATTTTATTAGCCTTTTGTAATAACAGAGTTGGTTCGCAGTTAAGTGTTTTATAATAGTTTTCGCACATTACGTATACGTCATGTGGGATTTTCTGGTAAAGAATATCCAATGAATGAGTATGGAGTGCAACTGATCTAAGGTGAGTTTATTTGTAGACATATACATACACATAAATGGTTAAAATACTTTTTTGAGAAAAACACTGTTTGGCCATACCTATACCTAGTAACAGAAATCACACACTTATCCACGAAAATGTCAATGCTATGCATTGCCATGTGGATAACAACAACCACAGCAATCGCAACCAGTCCAAGACCAATTTACATTTTCATGTGACGACGCACATAGCGCAGCAACAACACCAATGCCAAGGACAAAATACTGCCTCTGATGGAGGATATGTCTGCGGCATACGCGCAAATCTCCTCCAGCTGACGGCAGTTGCTGAAATGCTTCTCGTTTGACAACATTTTAGCGGTTTCGTGTGCAAACTGGGCCGAGTTCTTGTAGCACTTGTAGCGGATGCTCTTGTAGATGCAGCTCTCGTATGCCAAACGTGCGCTGCGGTTAAATTGTGATCACAGATTTTCCCTAGCCGCAATGAGAACAATTAACTTACCAACAAATTTCCACACATTTTGTCGTATTATTTAGTTTGCCGTCAACAATTGCTCTCTGAAAGTTATTACTGCACCTTTGCCAATCGGCTTTAATTTTGGGGAAGCACTCCTTGCGACGATGCATATCTGCAGGAGGACATAACTTGAGCTAACTACTTGAATAACAAACTACGACAGTACGACAAACATGAAACACACACATTATACAAATTGAACTTTCACACTCAGTAAAAAAGTCAACTCCTTACCTCGCTGATAGTTCTCATTGGCGCAAAACTTTTTGAAAAGCCTGAGTGCTCTATAAATTTTATTTTCGTACATGTTGAGCTTTTGACTCTGCAGACAATGTTTGGAGTAGACATCAAAACATTCCATGCCACGATTTAAAGCACTACAAATAAATTGTTGGATATTTTAACTTTCACGATTGGATTTAATTTAAATTTTTAAAGTTATATTAAATGAATCAGCGATTGTTTGCCGATATTAAATACACTCTGTTATTATAGATGTATTATTTGTAATAAGAAATCCTTGCACTTTAAATTAAAAAAATTGTTACTCATATTTACTGTCACCTGCTCAGGCATTTTTATTATTATTAATTTTTTTTTTTTTTTTTAAGTTTTCGCAAGTGTCTCTAATCCAGCCGAGACTTACTCGCACTTGTCACTCAAATCTTCCTTGGTTATGGCAATCTTATCGACTTGCAGAAGCTTCTGTGGAAAATCCTTAAAGCACTCGACAATCAGTTTTTGGGGATCGCCACAGGCATCGACATCTCCAGGTTGCGACTGTAGATATAACGTTGACAAAGCACAGAGCACCAAAAACCAGCCGTAGGCTGCAACAAATCTTAAACCTTCACTCATTGTCCTTTGCGCTTCACTTGTTGCTGAGTTACGCTATTTTAAGTCGCGCGCTATTCCCAATGTCGCTTCGTATGCTCGCGCAGTCCTTGCAATTCGCTTGCTCCCGAACAACTGAATCAGCTCGGCGAACTCGCTCCATATTTAAGGCTGACTAACAGAGCTCTGCTAACCCGCTGTTAGGGACAACGCATGCTCCTTGGCGACGGCCACGCATGCTTTTTCGGTTTGTTGACTAAAATCCTTAAACTAACGGCTTGATGCTCGCTTACAGAGCTCTGTTAAATTGCTGTTATTCATATCGCTCAACCCCCGATGAAGGTTAATATTTTAATAGAATGTTTTTGTGTCCGCCTGCCTCACATTTCACCGTCTTTTACACCAAAGACGATATTTTCAACAAGTAATTATATATGCTTATATATATATGTGTAAGCAATCTTTGAATACAATTTTTTGGCATAATTAAAATATTTAAATTCAAATTTAAATTAAAAATAAAAATACGTTTAAATTCAAGACGGATCTTAAACTAGAAAATTAAATTAAAATTAAATTATTGTTATTAATTTTTGTATGTCAACTATACGCCATATGGCTGCATATCTTCATTGAAATGTTATTGTCATTTTAATTACATCGAAACGAGCAATTATTTTCGAACTGCATATCATAGTACAATTTATTCAACACACATATAAACAGGTAATTAGGTAAAATTGAAATGCATCTTTGTGACCAACAAGTGTCGATGTTTGGGAAGAATCTCACACTTATCGTCTAATTGCATGATACGGATTAATAACCAGAGAACAACCACCTGTTGTGATAGCACGCATATCTCATTAGCAACATCAATGCCAAGGGCAAAATGCTGCTCCAGGCAAGGTAAGTGTTAGGGGCACCGGCGCACGTGTCCTCCAGCTGTGGACAGTTTCTGACGTAATCCTCGGTAGACAACATTTTTACGACATTGCACACAAATTTGGATGAATTCATTAGGCTCGTATATGGAGCGCCAGTGTTCATGCAGTGATCGAATACCAAATAATCGCTGTATACAAATTTATAGCTAATTAGTTACTCGATGGCAAGATGACTGACCACAGCTTACCAACAGAACTGCAGTAATTTATTGGTAGAGTTGCGTTCGTCGTTTAAGTCTTCTATGAGTGCTTTCTCCACGTCCGCAGTGCAGGCTATCCAATCATCCTTTTCATTCGCAAAGCAACTCTTGTACCGCATATAGTCTTAAAGGTGGGATAACAATTTGGGCAACAGAAAAAAACAAACAGATATTTATAACATCTATGTAGGTGTGCTTCTTACCTCGCTGAAAGTCCTTGTCTGTACAAAATTTTTCGAAAAACTTGATAACACCGTCGATATCTTTTTTAAATAAGCTGGGATCGCGACTCTGTAGACAACTTGCTGAGTAGTCCTCGATGCATTTCATACATTGATTGTACACACTATGAATACATTTTAGATATTCATTATTGAATATGGACAATTCTCTAGTGGCGAATGTGACATTCGTACGTTTTTGAGTTAAAAAAAAAAAAAAACGAATGGCAAAACATTTTTTTATTTTGACGAATAGTGAATCTTTTAGCTCTTGATTAACTCTATAATTGGTGCTAAATCTGATTTTAGCAAGTGTTAGTTTTCAAGATAATTACAAACAAGTAAGAAAGCTCTAGTCGAGACTACTCGACTACGAGATCCCCTGAACCCTTGGAGTAATAGCTATTTCAATAATTTTTCGCGTCTTTCAGCTTACACAAGAAACACGCACACACACACACACACACGCACGCACGCACGCACACACAGGCATACATACACACACATACATACAAACATACACACACACACACACGTACACAAACAATTACATACATATACACACACACAAGCATAAACACGCATGGGCGGCAGTGAGCGCTTACTATGAGAACTTAATTACTTAATAACTTTTTTGTGGACGTACGATCTTCATGAAACTTTCAGATTATGATTATGACATGGATATGCATGTAATTGCCAAAGCACAAGTCTCTAGTATTTGAAATACGCTTTTTACAAAAGTGAAGGTGAGGGGGTGAATTTAAGGGTGGGGGGTAAATTTTAACAAAAACCGAAATTGTATAAATTGCATATAGGCATACATTAAAAATTTGGAGACTCTAGCAATAAAGGTGTAGAGGATATAATTTTATAACTTGTTTTCGATAAGGTTTTTTATCGATAAAAAAAGATCGGGATGAGTTATCGATTTTTAATGATAAACTTGATATGCGCGCTGTAATTACGGACATTTTAAAAAAAATTTGAAGTCTCTAGCTGTTATATCTTCTGAAATCGACGCGTTCATACATACGGACAGACGGACAGACGGACAGACAGACGGACAGGGCCAAATCAACTCAGCTCGTCGCCCTGATCAAGAATATATATACTTTGTGGGGTCTGCCACGCCTCCTTCTGCCTGTTACATACATTTCAACAAAACCATTATACCCTGATTTCCCATTGAAAATGGGTTCAGGGTATAAAAACCAAGAGGTTCGCAGACTACAAAAAACGTAAGTCGCTTTTTAAATGAACAGTTCAACCTGAGATTTTAGCGAAACCTTAAGTGACAATTTATTACGAGTAGTTTTAAATTATTAGAAATTGGCACATCTTTACAATGTTTTTTATTTGATTCAAAAATATTAAGTAGTTTTTTTTTTTTTTAGTTTTAATCAGGGTCGAAGGTGACGTGTCGAATGAGTCATTTTTTCCACCATACTTTTTTTTATTTTTTAGTAATTTTACATGAGTAAAAGCATGAGAAATGATATGTTTCATATTTCATTGCATAGTGTCTCAATAATAAGAACATAATGTGCAATAGAAATGCTCAAAGCAGAACTTTTGCACTAATTCGGCTTTGTGTCTCAATATTTCGAGATGTATTATGATAAAATGTATAATTGGTTTATATTATTTATTATTATTAGTTATAAAAAAAATATGTTAGCAAAACATGCTTTCATTGACTTTGAATGTTTTGGCTGCGGTTGACCTTTCTCGAGAAATGCCCATATGGAGATGCATTTTTCATTTTTCAAATTGTAAATATTATGAATGTAAACAGTTCATTTTGTTAGTTCAATTATGATTCCAATTGACATAGTTTATTTAACATAACACTAACACTTCTTATCACAGTCATCTCTACTCCAAACAAGACTTACTTGCATTGGGCAACGATTTCTTGTTGGCTTCTCACAGATTTGCTTTGCAAAAATTCCATAAGATGTGACGGCAAATCTTTGAAACATTCGTTAATCTGCCTTTGACCGTTGACGCATTTATCTAGATAATGTGGCGGACGAAATCTTTTAGTTGGCGCAATTGTTATGGCGACAAGTGAACTAAGCCAGATAAACACTAGAACAGAAGTGATTGCCTTATGCATGGTTGGTTTTAATTACTTTCTTTTTTTTAACTAAAAGTTTTTTTATGCTGTACGTATTTTAATGTCTGATACGTATCGCGCACTGTTAGTCCTTACGATTTGCCACCTGCCAAAGAACTGAACAGCGTTGGCCACTTGCAACTGTATTTAAGGCCTGTTAACAGAGCACTGTTAACTGTTTGATGCAGCGCATGCATCACCTTGATTGCACTGAGGACAATGAAATTGACCATTTTCTTGTTTGCTTTTTTCTTTCGTTTCTTCTTGCTTCAACTTTATAAATTAATAATATTAAATAAAAAAAGGAAGTTACAATAAATAAAAAAAAAAAAACTCTTTTATTTTATTTATAAATAGAATAAAATAAAAACGAGTTTAATTTAACTTTTACAAATTTACTGTGTATATTAAATTTTTTAAATATATGAATGAGAGTTATATTTTTTATAAAGCTAACGATTGAAATTCAATAAACAAATGGCGCAGTATTCCAGAATTCACTACGCACCAAGCTGACCGTGAGATAAATAAATAAACAATCTTCTTATTAATTCTGTGTGCAGCCGGAAAATATGCTCATGGACTATGCAGCAGGGAAAAACAGCAATCATAATTAATTTTGTATACAAAAAAAATATAAATAAAAAAATAAAAAAATCAAGTGCACAAGTATGCAACGTGTCGAATGCAATGTGAGAGCCTTAAAGTAAAAGAGGTAGTAATATTTGAAAACATATTTTTGGTAATATTTGGTATATCCGCATAGAAAATATTGATTACCCCAAATGCTTATAAATTGCATTTAATTAATTAAGGTAAAAACAGGGCATGCATATGCATAAAAAATTTAACATTTGCTATACAAATATATCAAATATCATAAGCAATATAGAAGAAACAAGTATAGAAGTATAGAAAAATATAAAAATAAGTGTGCATATAACATATTTAATAACTTTTATATTTGTTTTCTTTTTAATCAGCAGACTCCGCACAAAGTTTTAAGTTCTTTATTGCAGCTTCTATCCTTAGCTCTATAGCGCATTATATATAATTTTAATACAAATTATTTACATTACTTCGCCTTTTTTTCAAGTTTTAAAACAGTTAACTTAAAACTATAAAATCAACTTATATTTAGCAGAAAATGTTATCTCTATCGTACAAAACAATCTGTAATTGTAACTGATATGCCCACATAAAACTGTATCTGCATACCAAACTATAAAATCAACTTATATTTAGCATAAAATGTTAGCTAACTCTATCGTACAAAACAATTTTCAATTGTAACTGATATGCCTACATAAAACTGCATCTGCATGCAAAACTATAAAATCAACTTATATTTAGCAGAAAATGTTAGCTAACTCTATCGTACAAAACAATTTGCAATTGTAACTGATATGCCCACATAAAACTGCGTCTGCATGCAGCTTTAATCTGTTTCTTCGTGGATACCTTTACACGTGCAGTTGCCTGCAAGTATGCTGTGGAGTTTTTTGCGTAATTTTTATTTTTTTATTTTTATTTTTTTTGAATGAATTCTTTTTTTTTTTTTTAAGAATTCATTTTTTGCGGCTTCTGTCTTAGACTCTATAGCGCTGTCATCGTTAAACCTTAACCTAAATTATGGGCTAGAAGCCAGTATTTACACTATTTACAATTATTTACAATGCTCTGTGGTCTAATGGGTGAAGCCTTTTAAGCCGTCGCCTGTTGTTGTTGACTACCATGTAAGTAGCCAGTGGATTTGGGTGCGCCAAAAGCCTGTCCGCGTACCTCGAAGACTGACGTCCGATCAGTTCTGCGATTGTTGACATTCTTAGATCGCTGTGCAGCACAGAATTGCGAACCTGGCGCACAACCACAATACACGAAGGCTTAAAAGGCTTCACCTCTTGGACCACACATCTCCATAAATAACTGTAAATTATTGTAAAAAAAAAAAAAAAAGTGTAAATAATTTAAATACTGACTTCTAGCCAACAATGTAGATTAAGCTTTATTGATGACGGCGCTATAGAGTCTAAAACAAGAAGCCGCAATTAAGAATTCTTTCAAAAAAAAAAAAAAAATTAAATTTCAGTTATGGTGCGAATAAACTACTGTGCCTAACCATCAGAATCCTGCCGAGCACATCAATGAGCCAATAACACTGCAACACAAGATGCAAAATACAATCCATCTATAGCAGCCGCTGCGGCATAAATGAGTGAATATGAATGACAGACACTGAGTATGGTCAGCATTTATTCATGGTCCTTCAAATGAGTTTTGCTTAACTTATTTACAGTTAACGAATGGCTTACCCCGTTAAAAGCCCGTAAATTGAATAACGTAATTAAAATGCCAGCTGAACATGCAGATCGGCCGTATGCGACTCTTTTCACTGCAGCCGCACTACGTCCACAGCACATAACGATGTACACATATATCAAGATATATATATATGTATATATATATTTATATGTGTATATGTATATAATCCTGTTGCATGAATCATTTATTCATGGAGTTTTTCATCGAGGTACGTATGTATATACATACATATGCACCTCACTGGAAAAAGTGCATTGATTAATGCTGCAATAACAGAATTATCATACTTTTCAAGTAGAGTCTGATTGGTTACTGAAAAAAAGTAATAACCTTCAATTAACCGGCACTCTGGCTGCGCAGGAGTTTCATTGACAGACTTACCTAAATATAGTGCTGAAATCAACATTGCAATTCGCCAAAAGAGTTGAAGTCTTACACCTATGTATATTCTGCATTTCATTCTTCTAATAGAATTGAATTGAATAGAATTGTTGTTTTGCTCAACAGTGTTGTGGTGGCTCAACAGCACCTCCATCAAACCAACTTACACACTGCTGATATTTTTGCCTCGCTGAGTAACTCACAATTTTCCTAGGATTTTCCAATGAAAACTGCTTATGTATGCAGCTCTCATTTATTGTTTGTGTGAGCAGCTATACCTGCAGCGCCTACACGTATGCAATGTACTTTCCGGATGTCACCTGAAGCGCTCCGTTCCAAAAATAACACGATTGAGGAACATGGCGTGCATATTTTGGAGGCTTTTGTAATTCCATTGATGCACCAGGCATCAATGTGCAACAACTCGGCAAACAATAGCCAATGATTGGTTGTTGGTCAACAACTTTGTGGTCAATATGCAAAGGCTAATACAATTTTGTTTTCAATTAGCAGCTGCATCAGGCGTGACTCGCAGCACAGCAACAGACATTCCTGAAAAAGCTTCTTTTTTTTTTTTTTTTTATAAACATTTATTTTATGCAAAAACTTGTACATAATTTAATTTGATTTTGTTACAGTTGCGTATATGTATATACATATATATGCTGTATATATGTATGTATTAATTATTTGAACATATGTGAATAGAATTGCAAGTATTCGGTGAATCTGCAATGTGTATGATTTCTGATGTTATTATTTTGAATGAATGAATATTATTTGCAATAGATGTTACCCATTAACATTAATGCATTAGAGCAATGCAAGTGCTTTAGCTTATTCCTATACACTACATGATTACATACATCATAACATATTGTAGTGGCTGTATATAGTTTACTCACAATCATCAATTGTATTGAATTTCGAAATCCGATGAGCGATTATGAATTTTAATTAGGCAGCACACCAAAAGATTTGATAATTCTGGCGGTGCGCATTGCTACGATTGCACGATTGCCGTTACTAACATAAATATACATATTATAGTAATTAGATAGTTTTATCATTAAAATAGTTGGATAGTTTATTATGTAATTTGTTTGTGTATTGAGTATGTCGCTTCACATCTTTTGCATTTTAATTTCATATTGTAGTTGGCTGCTGCTGCCTAATATTGCGATTCAATGTAATTTTAGCTGGCTTCAACTTTCGTTTTCTTTTCAGTTTTTATTTGCTTTTGATTTGTGCCGTTATAAAAAATATGTTTACATTTAACTTAGTCGCAATATGTTTGAAAGGCACACTAATTACATATTTGTTTCAATTTATAGTTTCTCATTTAGCTGCATTAGGGAAAATTCTTTAATTTAAAATAAAATGTAGCCGTTTTTCTTTTGTACCATAATTTAAATGCAGTTTCCTGTTTACTTTTTTTTATAGATTTTATTTTTCTTTTTTAACGATATGCTTTCTATCGCATATTTGCTATGATTGTTAGCTGCTAATGGGTTGAACGTGTTAAAAGAGTTTCTCTATCAAAGCAAGAAATTTTCTTAAACAAAAATATTTGTATATTAATTTAACACTTCATAACTGCTAACATTTACTTTAAATTAAAGAATTTCGGTATTATATTATTTATATATGTTCAAAAATGGTTTAACTATTCAAAATTGTTTAAATCTTTTTTTTTTATTTTTTGTTTATGTTTTTTTTTTTATGTATAATACATTGTGCTTGAGCTCAATATTAACATTAATTAAGTTAAAATTATTTATTTATTAATTGTACATTATTAATGCATGATATTCGTTATTCATTAACTAAATATGGCTGTTACTTGTAGTTTGTATTATCATTTGCTTTAATTATAAATTTTAATAAGCTCACGCGCTTCGCTTTAATTACATACTTAAAAATGATGTGTATGTACTTGTGTATATTTATAATTACATATATATGCATGTTGTATATGGTATTTAACATAATCATAATCGAAATACTTCATTAACAATGAATTTGCGTCAATTTAACAAAAAAATTAATTGTATATATTTTGTTATAAACGTAAACATAAGCTGCGCAAACAACAATCTATTTGCTGCCTATACAATGAGTAGACGAGGTGCGTATGTCTGTGTGTATAAGGTTGTGTGTGTGTGTTTTCATTATTACACAGATAAAACAATTTTTGTGTAGTCTAAATAATATATATATATATAATAGATTCTTCATCGCATTATTCAAAAAAATTTAATATGATAAAATGTTTTTTTAGCAGATGAGATTCCATAAATGATATTCTTTATGTTTCTTTTTTTCTATAATGGCATTTAAACAAATGCATTTGTTTAATGCATAAATATTTGCAGTTGAATTAAGTATTTTTAAATAGATTTTTTTGTTTTTGTTCGCTGCACTTTTCGTTATGTACTACAACTTATAAGTGGTTAATAGATATTATTTATATGCGTTTCTTTTGTTTTCATCTTCTTTAATTTAAACTATAAAACTATGCTTGATTTGTTATTGTAATTGTTTGTTTGTTTTTTGTTTTGTTTTACTGGCTGGCAAAACGCAAACAGAAATGGCCACAAAATTCAATACATTGTTTTGCTTCTTCTTCAGATTGTTGTTGTTGCTGTTGTTGGATGTTGTTGCTATTGTTGTTGTTGGATGTTGTTGGTTGCAGTTACTGCTGCTGCATACAGATGAGTGTTGATGCAGGCGCAAGCAACAGGCCACAGACGCTGAATGTATTTGGATGCAGCATATGCATGTCTGTGCGTGTGAATATGTGTGCATGTTTGTGTGTGTGTATTAGTATTTGTCAGTGACAAGAGCTGCTGCACTACTTGCAATTAGCATATCCATACATTCCATACAACATGGCACACAATGCTGCCCACACAGCTTCCTGCCGCGACTGCTGCTCCTTGTTGTTGTTGCTGTTGTTGTTGCTACGGCTACTGCTGCTGCATTCATTTCACTCGCACATCTGACTGCGGCTGTATCACCATGGCAATTGCATCTAACCAAAACGAGGACGGCGCAGACGGCAGGTGAAGGCGTTGTTTTTTTTTTTATTAGCAAATTTGGTAGTTTTTTTTTTTTTTTTAATGTGTTTTTGGTGGATTTTGTTATAGGTTTTGTTTGTGTTTTTTTATTTTTTATTTATAGATATATGTATATTGTTTTTTTTTTTTTTTTTTTTTGGTTAGCATGTAAATAAAAGAAGTCATAGAAATGGAAATTGAGTATTAATAAATGGTTAGCAGTTAGTTAAATCGTTTATGGTGTTTCATAATTGAAATACCTAAACTATATATAAATAATTTAATATGCGAATTATGAGCACACAAAAAGTTACTAAATGAAAGCGGGCATATGGAGATATCTCTCTGTATAGTTCATACAAATGGTATTTATGGTATGCAATGTGTAGAACAGTAAATAGATAATTAAGAGCAGGGCACACAACATGCAGGCCAAGATTTCGTTTAGTAACTTTTGTTTTCTTTTTTATTCGGATTCATTTATTGTTTTTTTGCAACAAAACAAATTGATTTTCTCAACAATAAATAAAATCTATAAAATGAAAAAAACATTCTGTTTGCAGTACTTGAGATTACTACATTTTCAGTTGATGTAGACAACAAACACAAACTAAATCGTAGATAGTGCAAATCTAAGTGTATTAAATGTTTATTGTTTATGGTTTTATCAAACTGTTATTTAAGAGACATTTATTGGTTATTCAAGACGCTGCATAGAAATTGCACGAGTAATTTACAAAAACAACGTACATATTTATTTACTGATTTTTTTTTTTTTATTCTTTTTGTACGTTCCATTTGTGGTTTGTTTTGTTTTGTTCTTTTACTTTCAATTTCTTTGTTTAGTTAACTTGGCCTTTGGTTAGTTGAAATTAGCAATAATATTACATCACATATCATTTGATATTTTTATGGTTTTTTATACATATGTAAATGCTATAGAGTATAAAAAAATTTAAAGATTAGAGAAAAAAAAAAAATAAAATTGCAGGTGCATTGGCTATCAATTTGTTTAAATAATAGTCTTTTTTTTTTGGAAAAAAAAATGCCAAGGTAAAGCGTTATTTACATTGTTTTAAATTGAATGTAGGGGAATTTATTTATTCAAATATTCATAATCAGAGACATTCTTCAGCATGGCATTAGAATCAATTTAGTAATTTGTATTTGTATAGTTCTGTATGTGAGTGTATGTGTATGTGTGTGCGAAGTTATATCAGGATTTGTAAGCGAATGCAAATGCAATTTTATAGAACGTTACACAAGTATTCATCTTACTAGTCTAGAGAGATATTATTATATTAAACATATGTATTACTGATACCAGAACCGTATTAAGCTTATAGATTAAGTCTGTTAAATACACGTCAAGATATATCTTTAGGTTTTATATATGTATACGTGGTAGTGGTAGTGGGTGGAGACTTGGACTTGGTATTTGGTCTTTGGTATTTGGCTTAGTCGCTGTTCAAATCGTTGCAATTCATTATTCAATTAAATACTAAAGAGAGTTTAATATGTGTGTGTGTGTGTGTGTGTGTGTGTGGGTAGATGAGACAGACGTTAAGCATAGAGTTATGCCCCGGACTAGTATATGGTAGTGGTTGTTGTTGGTTGTGGTTGCGGTGGTGGTTGTGCTAGTAGTAGTAGTTAGAGTAGTACATCAGGCCCCACGCTGGCTAGAAGTGCGCGTACACAGAGCTTAGAACTAAAGTTAAGTACTTAAGTTAAGGCACTAGAGTTGCAAACAAAAGTTAAGTGTTTCATTTTCTTGATTATAGTAAAATTATGATTTTAATATATATATTGTCTTCTTTTAGGTGATCAATGAGTTATGCGAGACGACATAGGAGTGTTAAGTTCGGAAAGCGTTAGAAGATTTTATGTTTTTTTTTTTTTTTGTTGTTTTACTTTTCTGTTTTTGAATGCCCAGGTGGCATTTCCAAAATCATAGTAGAAATGAAATTATAAGACTTGAATGCATTTTTTGTTGTTTGCTGGTTTTGTTTTCTGTGTTCGGGTTGCACTTCAACAAAAGTCATTGATCTTTATTCTCGTACACTTTCGGTTCAATTGCAACATACATTTTGAAATGATATACAAGGTAAATGTTACAGACTAACAGGGCCTTAAACGCTAAATACACATATAAAATTCATATTTCATAATTCATAGATATAATATATAGATATATATATAATATAGTAATAATAATAATTATATGGCTTAAGAAAGAGTAATACAAAATGTACTAAATTGCTTTTGCTTTCGAGTCTGCAGTAGAAATTATATACGAATTTCTCACCGATATCTTCATGTTTACATTTTTTTTCCCATTTTATATGTACTTTTTTTATTTTCATTCTCTTTTCGTTTTTGTAAAACATCAAAGGCACAAGTCAACGTCGTCAACAAAGAAATAAAATAAACCAACAAAAAATATATATATTTATAAATATATATATATATATATAGATAATAAAAAACAACGTGATATTCTATTTGCGTTATTCTTTATACTTGACAGCTTAAAGCGGCTTTACTTTCTGTCTATTGCACTAAGATTTTCAGATTTTCAGAATTTTCATACATTTTTCATTTTATTTGTTTATCTCTTGTGAGTGATTGGAAAACGAATCAAAACTCGCAGCAGAGGTGCAGCTGCCATTGTCGTGGAGGAGACAATGCCAATCGCACCTCATGCGGTAATATTAAATGTAATATAGAAAACAATTTGTATAGATGAGTAGAAACACAACTAACCTGTTAGGCGCTTGAGTTATTATTGGACTGAGTTAACTGAGTTACGGAGCTGCACAGACCGGCCTGGCCAACTGGACTGGCTGGGTTTCATTGTGCATACAGCAGGAGGGCACACAGCATTTAATTTATTTGAATTTAGATTAACAATTGTTCGAAGACTTGATTTGAAATAAAATTTTGCTTTTGTTATAGAATGCAAAACAAAAATAAATAAAATATAATTTTATCATAATTGAACTAAATTGATTAAGGACCAATGTTTTTTTTTATAATAATGGCGGCCCAACGATAACACTCATCGTTCTTTTTTTTAGCATTTGGGGAAATAAAATTTAAATAATTTGTTTTAGATAAATACATTTTTAAAAAAATGAAAAAATGTTTTTTTTTTTTTTCATATGATAAAACAAGAAATTGTTTTGCTGTCGTTGCTAGTGTGCTTCGTTTGTATTTTTGTTTTTGATTTTACTGAATTTCAATGAAACCCGCCGGCTTGGCTGGCACTCCGACCGTCGTACGCTGATAGGGGTGTTCTCTGTTAGCCGCCAAACGACGTTGCTGCTTAAGGGCGCCTACTAAAATATACGATACGATACATGTAGATATGTGCATAAATAAATATATATATTGATATACATAGATATATATTTATATATGTTTATATTGGTATATTGAGATTATATATATAATATTCAAGGCAATAAATATATACATATACATACAGGTATACAGGTGGCCAGCTGGACAGGTGGACAGGTATGCATGTATGTATATATGTATATCGTCTACAAAACTTATATATGTATAATAGTATATAATTGAAAGAAATATATATTTATGCTTGCTCTTTTTGCCTCCTCTTCCTCTTTCAAACAACACACAGTTTGCATTTGCTGTTGGAACACTGACACTGTTTCATTTTCTAAATACCAATTTCAATTATTTAAAACAATTAAATACATTTATTGTAAATTGTTAATTGCACTTGTTTTTCTTTTGTTTTGCTTTGCTTTGTTTGTTTAGATATAAATTCTGTTTCTTTGGAATGAGTCGTATTTATGTTGTTTTACTTATTGATTTGCTACTGGGTTTAACGTCGACGAAATAAGTGATCTTTAAGGCAGCTCAGCTCAAACTAGCCTACAGAATATCTAAGTACATTTATGTGAATATACACATAAATGCTTATTATGATTATTATTATTGATTTTACAGTTCTTTAGCATTCCTCCAGCTGTCTGTCTGTCTGGTGATTTGATGCGCGCTTTTTGCTGACTAGTTGTGCAAAATATTGTTGGACGGCTGCCTGAGAACCTCAACTAACCTATGTCTACAAAAATGTTTAAGCACCAACTCGATTCAAGGCTCCATCTATACACTACTACATATAAAGTGATTAATATATATGTATATATATATGAATATATTTTAAAATGCTACAAAAAATCGACGTGAGGCTGTTAGCCAATTACTACCAAACGAAATATAAATGGCACTGACTGGAAAAAAATCAAACGGTACGGAAATCAAATGTTTAACTTGAACTTGTCGTAAGGTACACTTGTGCATAAATACTGCGCTTAACTGCTACCACACAAAACTAATTAGCTATTAGCTAGACATTGCACTTAATTAAAATAGAAAACCCAACAAAAAAGGAAAGACAAAAAAAAAGAAAGAAAAAAGTCAAAGAGATTCAACTCAAATAAACATCAACCTACACCGTTAAATCAAAAAGAAGTGTAAATAAATAACAAAAGTTATTCAAGACCTAAGCGTATGTGAATATATATGTATATATATAAATAGAAAACTAGAAAACATAGACATCTGTAAATATACTACTTAAATGGCTAAACAAAAAACTTGCAGCAACTTGGTTGAAGGCTTTAAGTAATATGCATGTCTATGTATGTATGTATGTAAGTAGAATACTCATTGTTCCCAAAACAACAACGACAACAACAAACAACAAATTGCTTCACTGTCGTCATTGTTGTTGCTGTTGCAGCTGTTGTCAACTAGAATATACTCATGTTCCGAAGTAGAAAATTTGCAAATTGTTTGAAGAGAGCTGACGAAACACAAACCCAAAACATTAATTATAAAAATTAAAAATAAAAATAAATAGAAAATTTTTTTTAATGAAAATAAAAATCTTCTAAGCGCCTAAAAATCACTTATTTTTCAATCGTTAGCTGCCAGTTTTTTAGAAATGTTTGCGACCTATGAACTAACAAAAAATTTCTCGACGAGCAATAATCATATTTACTTGAGTAACTTGTTTTTCATTCTCTTTCATTTTTGTTCAATATTTTCAGTTGTTTGTTTGTTTGTTTCTTGTTTTTGTTGCTTACAGAGAAGCTGCAGTTGTTTACTTGAGTATTTGTTGTTGTTGTTGTGCATTGCTAAATAAATTATATATGTTCAAGTGTGTGTTTATGTATATACGTAGCTATAGTTAAATATGTAGTACTACTACGTTCAATATGTTTTGAATATGTCCTGTGTTGTGCACTGTCAACGGCAGAATCTTGCTTCTCTTTTGCTGTATTTATATACATATGTAGATATGTAGATGCATATGCATATATAAATACATATACAGATTGTTTAAGCTGGTACTAAAAACTAACAATTTATATGGACTTCAATAAATTCTTGGTGCACGCAAACAAAAAAAAGTTCAAAAGACGGAGCCGGCATGCATATATCGACCAACTGTAAATATTTTTTGATATCAGAATTCAGATAAACAAAAATTAAAAGAATAAAGGAATAAATTCAAGAATGAAAATAATTATTTTTATAGATATATATATTAAAAATGTGATCGTTAGCTGTGCGATTCATGCAGAATTAAATAAACGAAAATTTGATCGAGTTAAGTCAAAATCAAAATTAAAATCAAAAGCAAGCGATGCAAGGGGTTAAAAGCGTGCGAAAAAAATCGAATTTTGCATTGCATACTTTGAGGCATTGCACAAATCTAACCGTAATTATATTGTATCATAAACAAGCAGCAACAGATTCGGCCAAGACACCGACATTGCAATACCCTTACAGAAAACTAAAAGCAATTAAATGGAAAAACTTTATCTGTAGACTTCTATATAGACAAATATAGTCTGCTATTGAATAAAATACAAAATTGCTATAAAATAATTATGGAATCTATCTTCTATCATCTTTAAAATAACGAATACGCCTAGTTACCTCTGCAAGGGTATGCAAATAACAAATTAATAAAATTAGTAAAATTGTTTGGTTATAAAGCAAACTGAAAATACAAAATCAAATAAATTAACAGGAAATAATGCTGGCTAATAAATTGAACATGCAACTGGACGTATGCTTAATGTGCACAAGTTTATGGACTATTCTCTGAGGAATTGTAAATGCTTTAAATAAAAAGTTGCTTCTTCTCTCTTTTGCTCAAATAATAATTGATTTTAAGATTTAGTCGTTGACTAACTTTAAACTGTCATGAGTTTGTGTAAGTGTTGTAAGTAAGTATTATTGCTCGCAGTTTGGCTCGGTAATAGAAGTTAAAAACATTGGCTAACCATAACTCAATTGATCGATGACTCGCCTCATAAACTGGCTTATTAGATGTTCATATATTACTTTTTTTTCTTGTATCTTTTTTGTTCGTGTAATTTTCGAAATGATGTGTGTGTGTGCATGTGTGTGTGTTTTTTCTTTTTGCTGGTGTCAACAGTTATGGCGCATATAGTTAAGAGTATATTGAATCAATATTTAGCTGATTGAAAATCATAATTTGTAGTTATAGAGATACGATATGGTAGTTAAGTAGTTTATCTAGCAAATAACCCACCGCTATGATCTGGATATTCCGTCAACAGAGGATTGGCGGTCAGTGCTGCATAGTTCGCGTAGTCGGTGTATGGCGATGCAAAGATCATGCCATGGGCGGTCTGATCGAAGGCGGCTGTTGGCGCTGCCTGGGCGGACAGTATACTGGCCGCTGATGTCGGCACTGTCATTCGTGGATTAAGTATCAATGGTGCGCCGAGCGGTGCACTGGCGGGATTACGTATCTGGGTGGCCAGTCCCGATAATGTGGGTGTCAGCAGGCGATTATCCGATGCAGCAACCAAACGGCGCCAGTCCTCTTCGCACACTGCGGGATACAGAACAGAAGCAGAAGGAGAACCAACGCATGAGAAAGCTGTCCGTATAGAAAATCCATGTAAATTCAAAGGAAAACATATTCATTATATCATTATTGGTTAGACGGACTAGGAAGCATGACTATCGCAATCGGATTCGATTGGCTTATATAGAGCACATAGCAATTATGCATTGCAGATTGCTATCAAAGCCGGGTTGAAGTTTAATCATTTAATTTATTTTTGGTCAGTACTGGGATTAGCTGTTCGTATTAGACAAAAGTTGTTTTTTTTTTTTTTTTTTTGTTTTCGTTTTGCTTCTTTTGCTGTTTTTGTTTGAGTATAAATATTTGTTGACTTATATGTAGATCTTGATTGATTGACGTACCTGCGACTGATTTCGCTGTTGTGTCCCTATATGTGCCGTTAATAATGGCTAATTCCATAAGTTGACGTTTCTTTAGCTCATCTTCGCCTTCGGCTTGCTGTTAGTACAAGTACGCGTACGCATATGTGTGTGTTGGCGCGTGTATATATGTGTGTATGTTGGTTTTTGTTTTGGTGTAGTAGTGGTAGTAGATATTTTTTCAATGTATTAAACAAAATACATCAAAGCATATTAGATTGGTAAAAGAAATGAAAATATAAAAAAAAATTATTATTAATATTTCGGTTAACAATTTTAGCAATGAGATAATTATTTATTTATTGATTTTATACAGATAGATAGGTACAGCAAATTGATTAATCAATATATGTAAATAGGCAACTGGCATTAAAAACATGCCAACAATTTAACATCTCAATTCTTGTTTTGTATTTGTATTTTGCATTAATTTTATTTAATTTTACTTTTTTATTTTAATTAAAGGAATCGGGAGTTGGGCATAGAATTGCAGAATGCCATTTGGCATTTGCTATAGCTATTACACATCCACTTACCGGCACGAGCAGCTTTTGCACTTCAGCGACTGCCTGAGCCAATTTGACTTTGGCGCGATTCTCGGTATCCTCGACGGTAATCAGAACATGCAAGTCGTCAGACAAGTGCTCCCAGTTGGGCTTGCCACGATTGGCATCCTCCTGCAAGGCATAGAAGAAATTTTGTAATATAGAATATATTGATTTCATTAGAATTGTGGAAGATGTCAGTCCGATACTTAATCGGATAAAGTTTTCTCTATAAAATAACTATAAATACCCATAACTATAATAATAACCGATGGCGCACTTTAATGCTCTAGTTTTTTGCCCATAAAAATAATATACTAAATAACCCATCTGCCTCATATTCAAGTTTTTATACATTCTGTTTGAATGATCATAGCTCTAAATCTAAGGGAATTAACCATACCAATTTGGTGTATATGATATATAAAATATTGAAGTATATTATATATAAGCATATATGTATATATATAATGAAATTCTATTCGTATATGTAAATGTCACTCTTCCTCCAAACACTACAGCATTATATTAAATACTTTTTTATGTAGTTATTTACTCAATACTCTTATGCATATATAGAGAGAGTACTATCTAAATATTTGTATATATCTTTTAGTGCTTCTCAGACCGCAAACACAACCACAACTACAACTACAAGCGGCAACAGTTTATTGGCAATGAACGTCATAGCCACACTAACAGAAACCGGCAAATGTGGATGCCAATAAAAACGTATACCTTTTCTTATTTCACTCATTCTGGCCAAAGTGTAGTTGGAATACGGACGAATTGCATTGCCAGAGGACATTGTGTGGCGCATGTGTTCGCTAATGGCCGCAAACCATTAATTGTGGCCACACAGTAAAGTGGATTTTGTGAAATGTTCGAAATATGAAAATTCTGCTGAAGCTGTTTTAGTTTGCGGCCACGCCAAATGCCCGCAGGCACTTTTGGCTGTCACGCTCGAAATGTGTGAGAATATGTGGCTGATATTTGTTAATGCTTAACCCAAGGCTCCCGCGACTTGCTCAGCTCATTAACTTTTGACCCAAAATGCGAAAGAAAGCACTAAATATATATAATTTATATGCATGGAAACTGTTCATGCTTTTAAATATAATTTTGAAAATTTTCTAATCAATTAAGCTCAAAGTGCCAGGCAAAACTGTCAGTTTAGTTGGCTTTTGAAGTTGGCTCATCAGCCAACCAGCCGACCAGTCAGCCTGGCTAATTTCGAGCCGCCAGCCCGCCACTTGTCAAATTACGAACTGTCAAGCGGCAAAATGAGCCAACTTAGTGGACACATCTGATTCAAACAGTTGCATGGAGACTGATTTATATGTATTTACATATATATAAAGGGGTTTCTGCTGCAAAATATTTATATGTATATAGTAGATATTTTTGTATTTCTATCTCTTGTTTGACTGCAGCGAGTAAACATTTTCGCTAGCTTTACTCGCTTGTCATTTTCATGAAAATATCATGAGTCACACACACATTTCGGCTGACGTTATATCAGCAAGTCAGCCAGCCAGGCAAGCAGTCCACGCTGAGCACCTGAGTGGGTGTCAGCTCACTCACTGTGTATAGCTACTAAATTATCAAAATATTGCAATGTTCACTTTTATATGGCTTGTCTGCTCTGACTTTTTGTATATGTGTGCGTGTGTGTGTATATCTCTCTCTTCCTCTCACCCTCTCTCCCTCTCTCTCTCTCTCTCTCTCTGTCTGTGTTTGCTTAAAATGCGCTCCACATTGGTAAACTACGAATATACATTTAATCACCTTAGCTCTGTTTATTTTCTTTTTTGTTTAACGTACGCCAGAGGAAATTAAATCATCATGAGTGCTGAAGAGTGACAAATTTTTTGACTAGACATTAGAATTAAATGAAACGAAAAACTTATATTATCTAACATTTGATATTTCTATTTAAGAAACATTGCCATCTGAACTGTAATTTTTTGTTGGCTGCTAATCTTATATGTATACTACTCAATTATTCATGTGCTATTCAATTTTGGACTTAAACTTGTCTCTTAATTGAGAATCATTTTCATTTTGGCTCGGAAACCGAATGTCAACCAAAATTTTCGTCAGAAAAGTACCATCTCAAATTGAATCTGAAATGTGCTCTGATTGCATAGTAACAGCCACCTCTGTATGTATGTGTGTGCAGTGTGTATGTGTGTTCTCTGCGTGGGTGATTGGGGCTATTCGATTGGCATACGAACTATGACTGTTGATTGGCATTTAAAGTGCTAATTTAATGAAATTTTAATTTCTCTCGAATTGCTTTTTTAGTTTTTCATGACTCCTCTGGACTTGAGTCTCCAATATATATCTGTGCATAGAACTCACCTTCTTTTTGTCCCGCATGGAGCCCTTGCCGCGTACCATTATCTTACAACCAGTCTCTTGCTCTAATTGTTTGGCTGTCATGCCGCGCGGTCCCAAAATGCGGCCAACAAAGTTGAACTGAAACGGAAAGAAATGACAGGAAATGAGCAACAATTATAACAAATATAATATACAAAGAATAATAATAACAAATTAAGCTGAAAGTCTTAATGCCATAAGTTGATCTCATATGAATTTAAAATACATTAATGGCAAGGCTGACTCATGAACCAAATTCAATTCAATGCACAAAACATTCTTTCAAAGTCAAAATTATTATTTTCTGTTTCGCCAAGTCGGGTCGAGTTGAGTCGAGTCGAGCGCCAGCAAAATTATAATCAAAGTAGAGAGAAATAAAAAAAAAAAATCAAAATACAAATGCACAAGCGCGCAAAATACGTAATATGACCTAAGGCGACACGCCTGAATTTGCCACGATAAACCAATCAGCCAGACTCCCAACCAGATTGCCAACTGCAACAGCAGCATGAGCGAGTGCTTAGCGGCGGCAACAGTCAAAGGCATTTCAAATACCAAATACCAAATACCAGTAGAGGAGGGAGGTCTTTTCGGTCGATAGCTGACTGACAACAGGTCACACTGATAGCGAGCGGTACTCCGTTGAGGCCCGGCTAGTTGAGCTCTTGCCAACAGCTGTGTAATTGATGAGCCAGCAGCCAATTATCATATGCTTCATGCCTGCGCTCTAACCACGCCCTCGAGCGTAAGTTGATGCTCATAAATTAGACGATCAGATTGTAGATTTATTAGGCACACTCATAGACGAATATCTCAACAACTTAGCCTGAATTATATAGACAATTATATTGTATAAAGGTTTTTCTATATGTATACACGTATATATATTGAAAATGGCGCAATTCTAGCCCTGAGGCGACCACCCACCAAATGTGGCGCAGTTTGGCTTTTATTAGCAAAAAGGCAAGGCCAAGTGGGTCAACGCGAATATTATATACTCTATAAAAGGTTCTTGAAGCAATGTTGCTTAAAAGGTTTATAAGAATATATACAGTAGAGTTCCGATAATTCGATTTACACCGAAATTCAAATTATCGGGAATTATTGAGAACGAATTTCTTTCAAGGGGATAGATTTTTTTCGATTTAACGCGATTTTCGATTTAGCAGGGTATGAATTATCGAGTCTTGACAGTACTTCTTTTATGCATTTTTCGATTCGATTTGATTTCGATTTTTTTTAATGATTTTTTTCCGATTTTGTTCCGATTTTTCTTAGTTTAAAATTTTTTTTTTTGCTTTTCCCTATGTAAAATTTAAGAATTATAATCTGAGAATTCAATTCTGATCATTTATATATAGACTCAAAATTGAAAGCTTCTTCCTTTGTATTATTACACATTGGCTGACAAATTGATAATATCCGCTGCAAGAGTGTTTTTATTTTTATTTCCAAACTGATGATGTGATATGTGTTGTTGCTGCTGCTCTTGTTGTTGTCGTTGTTGTATTGACGATGATGTGAACGGCAGCAGCAACTACAACAGCAGCACTCGTTGTTGTCGAGTATGTAAGTATATTAATCTTTATCTAGATAAATAAATCTATACATATACAGATATATCTATTGGCATTTGCTGTTCGCTGCTTGTTCCAGCAACTGCTGCAGGCAACTATTGAGATCAAATCAATTGAAAATTGCTGCAGATGCGTGAATGCTGTTAGTGGCTTAATGGCTGTGCACAAATTTTAATTAAGAATTTAACAATGTGCATTTAAACGGATTCTTTTGAAAACGGAAACAGAGAAACGGAGAAAGAGCGTAAGCGTAAAATTCAACTTTTCATGAAAATATAAATTCACGAGAATATAAATATTTGCATTTGCAACTGTTTCAGGCAATTAAAACTCAAAATCATTTGTCTTAACACACGACACTCGATGCGGATAATTAACAAAAGCTGGGTTCAAATATATCAAGTATTTAATCGCAGCCAAATTAAAAGTAATTCAGTTAATCAATTGTGAAGAGTTTTCCCTTTAATTTCCAATCAATTATGAAATAAGTGCAGTGCCACTTATGCGACTCAAGTGGAAAACTGCAACAGCAACAACAACAGTATTTATTAATATTGTTGTTTACTCGACTCAAAAATGCTGTTAGCAGACAAAAGAGGCAACAGTTGTTGGAACAGGAGCTCTCAGCCTCCTCTCTCTCTCTCTTCCACATGTTCTTGCTTTTCCTCTCTGATTGTGAGCAGCGATAAGAATGATTTCATTATGTACTAAATACTTATTTGTATTCTCAGCGCAAACAATTGATAAGCCGCCAGCAGCAGCGGGCATAAGATGCTTTTTTTAGACTCTTTCAGGTCGCCCACAAAGGAAAGAAAGACGCGCCTGGACCCAATTTAAGAATTAATGAATCAATATGGAAATCGGCTATGGCTGCTATGGCTGCCATCATAATAACGGACAATTGTAAAAGCCGCTTAACAGCACGTGACAGTTGTTCAGAATCAGACGATACCAAATAAAATCAAATTGATATATTTTATGTATAATACTCTCAGCATACTCAATATATCATATATGTATATCAAATGAATTGTTTCTTAAGTTCAGGTTTTTCACGCAGCCAAATGGACGCAACAGTTTTACAAATAGTTTTCAACAGCGAAACATCTTTTCATATTAGCCGCCAGTTAAGTGGAAACAAAAAATGCAAAACTAGGCAGCCAGGCGGCGCAGATCAAATAGATTACAAATCTGTATAAGTACATTTTAACAAACATACAATCTATATGTCTTCTCTTCATAAAAGTTTGAGTGTGAGTGTGAGTGCAAATGTGAGTGTGAGTATGAGTGTGCGTGCGTGTGCTTAATTATACGCGAATGTAATACAAAAAGTATGTCTATATTCCGCGGAAAAATAAATCACAGTTTGACATCTAACAAAAAAAAAAAAAAAAAAAAAAAAAAAACAGCTTGCTCCCCTTCCCTTCCCTCTGTAAGCTGTTTTACTACTTATTAAATAACTCAAAAATTGAAATGAGCATTTTTTTAGTTGCACATAATTAGCATTTTATGTTCATGACCAATTCGCTGCAGTTTTCAGATTAATTGCCCATATATTTACGACACACACAATGCATAAAGTGTGCAAATTGTTGCGACAAATGAGCTGAGCTCAGTTACTGCTGTTGCTATTGCTGTTGTTGCAAACAATTTAACATAAATACTCTAGCAGTTAGTAACGTCCGCTAATGGACAACAGCTGTTAGCATAGCATTCAGCTTAGCCAGCTATGTGAATTATGAAATGTTAAAACTGCGAAGGTGCTTGAATCTTAAGGCTATAGCTGGTTCATAAACAGAGAAAATGTCATAGGTATTCATTTAACTTATAGTTCCAATCAGAATCTAGGTAAAGCTTAAACCAAGTCAATTCAAAGCCTTGATTGAAAACTTATATTTATAAACTTTTTTAGAAAAAATTTTTTTTTCATTTCGGTAAGCCAAAATATTTAAAACCGTTTTGTTTGTTTAATTTTTTTCCTCTTTTTATTATTTTTAGATTTTTTCCTTTTCACTTATCCTACTATTTTGCAATCAGCGTACATATTTTTCTATTCATATTTTTTATAGCAAGGGCTTTCATTAAATTCAACTATATTTTTATGAATTACTCATTTAAATATTTTTAAAATCTGTTTATTTTTACAAGCTCCCCAACAATAATTTCTCGCTATTGACTGCCAACCGTTTGAATAGCTATATACTAAAAACGAAGAAACTTAGGCTAATACTATTTAAACAGCTGCTTGGCAGCTTTAATAAATGTTTCATCTTTTATCTGACTTATCTCGAACGTATATAAAACGACAGCTTGTAGTTTTGCGCGCAGCAGTGTCGCGGGGCGTATGAGCATTATGTTGACAGGCTAGCGGATAGAGACGGACACATTGATAGACAGAGAGAAGAGAATGCATTTGAAATAAATACTGGGCTGTGGGACAGCTTCAACTGGAGCTATGCCGTATATACAAGTCTGTATGAGTTAATAGCTAGTTTAGTAATTAATTGTAAACTGTTAAATGCCTTTGTTGTTGTTGTTGCTGTGGCTTGCTTGCAACAGATGTTGCTGTTGACGTTAATTAAGTTGTATTTATGTTTTGGACACACTCAGCAGCAGCAACAATTGAGCGCATTAAAAGACACTGCATTTTGTAGGCCTGCAGAATGCAATGCGATGCACTCGCATAAGACATAAGCCTTGTTGACAAATTGTTGTCCATTTACATGGCGTTCGTTGTTGCCGCTTGTCAGTTGGCTGACAAATCACTATTTACAGTGTTAAATATGGCTGAAATTATTTACTGCTATTATTTTTCGTGCAAGCGTTTCGGCTAATGCTGCCCGCTGTGTCCGACTTTCAGTGGTTAAATTTATGAGCAATGACGAGGCTAAACAATGTGTATAAACAATATATTATGTGTTTATATATAAACATATCTATCACTGTGTGCGTGTGCGTGTGTGTGTGGGTTTGCATGGACAATAAACATTGTGAAAACTTGTTGCATTTTCTTGCCTGCCTGACGACCTGAAACGCAATTTGTCTTGCTTAGAAACATTTGGCTTCGGTCATTCGGCAGAAAAATGTCAGAAATGTTCATGTTCAGCTATCGAGCTAGAAATATTGCAATTAAATGAAATGATTTATCGAAATGCTGAACACACAAATACACACACACTCACACACACACACCCGCGCTCAGTCAAAGAACTAAACACAAAAACAAAAATCTTCAGCTGGTCGATGGGCATATAAATAGAAGCATACGAAATACACAGAACACCTGAAATATCAAAAACCAAAATAGTCAAAAGATATAAAAAAAAGATTGAACATATTTTATATGTGTATATACAAATAAATGTATATATATATATATATATATATATATATATATAAACAACAAACCTATGCCCTGCGATCGTAAATCTTGGTCGAGCTGTGCCAATTTCCATTTGGAAAGCACAAACTCAAGCAACAAAAACAACAACAACAACAACAACAGCATCATCAAAAACAACTTTGATTTAGCCTTTTGCTCTGTTTCAGCATCAAATTATGTTCGTTTTCTAATTTATGACTTGCCTTGTTCACAATCAATTCGCTCTGCTCTTTGTAGGAGCAAAATAAAGAAAAAGTCAACATAAACGGTTAAGTTAAGTCTTATGCAATGCAGCGGCAGAAATTAATTAAGTAGAAGTTGCTGATTTTAAATAGTGTCTTATTTTCAATACCCTCGAGAAATGCACATTAAATAAGTTGAATCAGCTCAACTTTCAAGCCAATACACAGTGAAATTTTCAAGCGAATATTATGTCAATCTGACATAATCGTTAAATATGTACATATATAGTATATATTATATGTACATATATGTCGTAGGTATTATTTTCAAATTATAGGGTAACTAATAGTCTCAACTTTCTACGACTTTAATCACAAGCGAGAATTTGCCACAGATTTAAGCGTGTCTAACTAATTAGCAGCTTAAAGCAAGCATATTTGCATATCGAGGGCTTTAAGTGGTGGCGAGTTTCGAAATTGGCCAATAAATACTTTATAAATTGAATATATATATATATATATATATATATATATATATATATATATATATACATACTATATATAAATATATATAGCAAATAGACAAATAGACGGCTATGTGGAGCACGCACTGCCCCTCATTGAAAGACATGCTTTAATTGTGTCAAGCAATGAAATAAATTCACTCAGTTCTCGGTTCGTGATGCTGTCAGCCATAAATAAGGCAAAACTACGCCCAAACATTTTCCAAAATGAAAACAAAACAACAATAACAAATTAAAATGAGAAAAACAGCATTTGGAATTGCATAAAATTAAATCAAATTCTAATTTGCCATGGCGTTTGGCTAGGCGGGGAAACAAAACGCCTACAACGGACGACGACGACGACGTCAAGCGACTTCCTAAAACGCTTCACTGATTTTGTCTAACCCATTTAAAACACATACATACATATGTATATGCACATGTGTGTGTGTGTGTGTGTGCTCGGCTGCAGCTTACTGAACTGATACGCATTTTGCATTTGGCGAGTCTTAAGGCGAGCCCCGCCGTACTGAGGCAATTGCCATGTTTTGGACAACTTAACAGCCGACTGATTCCATCAGCTGTCTAAAGGTGTGTTATCTCTCCCTCTCTCTCTCTCTCTCTCTTTCTTTCCCTCTAGATACGTGTGCGTGTCTGCCAGAGTGTTGCCTAACCGCCCATTTGTTGCAGCAGCAAACTGACTGGCAGCGTCTCGTGTTCTTTGGGCACTGTTAGAGGGCGCACCTTAAGCGATTTCCGGTGTACCAGTTGCTCATTGGGGCCCATTGAGCAGGCCGCGCTGTCAATTCTAATTAGCGGAAGCGCTTCAAATGTGCTTCGATTCATAAATTAGATCATCGCTGATCGTTTCCCAATATATGTGTATAAATACATACATATATAAATATATATATACACATATATATATATGTTTGTTTATTTCAATGTGTCTACTTACATCTGGATGCTCACGCACTGGCACATAAACCTTCTCGTTCAGCGTCACCATAGCGCCCTCGGGCTCGGGCAGGGTGAGGGGCTCCTTCTTAACGCCATTAATCTGGAATAGGGAGGCACGAACACGTGCAATTTCTGCAATAAAAGAGAATAATTATTAATGAAATGACAATTAAAATGCGTTAACGTAAAAATATTCTTAAAAAACTTCCAAATTTTTACGACCAAAATGTAATTAAATTAAAGTTTCTGAAATGCTTTACAGCCAAAATATTATTATGAATAACTATAATATAATAAAAAAAAAAAAAAAAAAATTTTTTTTATGCTGCTGTCCAAGTGCAAAACAAGTTTTGTTTTATTTGTTGTTTAATTGACAACTATGTGGCTAATCATTCAACTCGGTCATTAGAGCAATTTGCCATTTAGTTAAATGTGCGTATTAAGTGACGCTTAATTTGACTTTTAGCTGTACAAATATTGTATTTCGAGCAACAATTGCCCCAGCATATACATACACATAGACGATGCATGTATGCCATTAATGACGTGTGAATGTTTACTTTATATTAATGCCGCTAATTTATTAGATGCAAACTAGTCAACACACACACACACGGACGCACAGCAAACACCTTACCTCTACGCCCCCATTAACAATATATTCAACTAGTGAAATCATTTGGTTTATATATAAACGAATTATGGCATGCATTTGCCTTTCAAATTACAGCGATGCGCGGAGCGGAGCGGAGCTGTGTTAAATAAATGTAAAATGCAATGCCAAATTGCGCATACGCCTCATTGTGCGCCATAATTCACACATTTGGCGTTTGGGCTACCGCAGCGACTAACTGTCGTCGACGTCGACGTCAACGTTGTCACTGTAGCCCCCCAACTGTGCCAGTTGACAGCGCCTTTACAATTGATATGATCAACATTTGGTTGTTGTTGTTGTTGCTGCTGCTGTTGTTTGCTTTGGGACTCGACGCAGTTGCATTGTTTAAGTTTGGCATGTGCCCCCGACTATAGCTGGCTCATACAATGGCCAACAATTTGTCACCAGAACGATAGGGCAGTCTCTCTATGATCTATGTGACAATTGAAAAAGATATACACAGATATATATGTATATTTTATTAGTGGGTGTGTGCTTGGGCACATGTCATACGGTATGACTTAAGAAGCAGCCACTGTGCCTCATGCCTAGGGGGTCTAGTATGTCATCAATTTGCTGCATGAGTTGGCCAGCAAAATAACTCATTGGTTAATTCATTCTGGTTATGGCAATACAATACTTAAAGCACCTCCTTCTACGATATGCAATTATTTATTGTTGGAAACATTTAAATTTATAGCTAGAAACGTTGGCCGCAACGAAACGTGCATTTTTTGACATCGAAATTTATATTTAATTTAATTGAACTCAAATTTTTCCAAACACGTTTGCTAAAAATCCGAAACAAAGTGAAAATGTTCTAGGAAATATTTTATATATTTGATATATTCAAGTTTTATGCATCTTGGCCCAGTTTCTGTTGCTCATTGTGCCTTCATTCTGCCTCCCCTCGGCTGACTAATGCAATATCCCTGCCAAATGTAAAATCGCCATGCATAAAATTTGACAATTTATTGACGCTCCGCTGCCGCTCGTAAAGTGCAATAGCGCTAGGAAAATACACACAAGTCTAAATTTAAAATGTTGCAAAATGTGGCAGCTGGGCGTAAAAGGCGCTGCCGAACAGCTCCCAGAAGGGCGTCATAAAGCCCTCAAAATTATGTTTGGACACATGGCCAAGATGGCAGAAAGGCAGCCCCTGTCTATTTTTGAACAAGAACTCAAAAAAAAAAAAAAAAAAAAAAAAAAAAAACCAGATCAGAATTGTTTTTCTCTTACAGAGTTCGTTAGCATTCTTCAATAGTTTAAACAAGGTGTGCGGGATTTGAATTTAGAAAACAATCAACTATTAGCTAGGCAACACAACACAACAAAAAGCAACATAATAATAATACTTAAATGTTGCCCACACACGCCAGCGTCAAGTTCTTTTTGCAAGTTCTCTTGGCACCAAATTTGGCTAGCGCTGTGTGTGCGCCTTATAAGGCAGTTCGCCTATTTGAATTGCCAAGATAGAGAGATAGAGTCATAAGCATGTAAATTATGACTAAAACTTGACTTGCATTAAGAGTGCCGCCACTTCCAATGAATGAGCGATACAGTTTGAAAAAAAAAATAGATATATATGTATATATATTTATTAATAAACAGCAACTGCCTTATAAGCACTGCAGAACGAGAACTTGTTAATGAATAAAAAGATCTTTCATTGATAATTATTAGATTGGTTTAGCCGCTCGACACCTACATATAGACAACCTGCTCAAGCCAACTCAGCCAATGCCCTTAAATGGTCACTTAGCAACGGACATGGGGCTTAATTATACACCACATATATGCATATATGTAAATGTGAAGCTAGAGGAAGAGACAGAGAGAGAGAGAGAGAGAGAGAGAGAGAGAGAGAGAGAGAGAGAGAGAGAGGGAATGAAAAAGAAAGAGAGCCATGGAGTCGCTAAAGGCAAGCTATTAATTAAGCTGCCTGCGCATATGGCGCATCGGCTTTAGTCTTAATTATTATAATTTATCTAAATGCTGCTATCAATTCGACCTGTCAGTGACTAATCCGATTCCATGATACAGTCCCCTTGGGGCAGCTGTGTCATATGCAAATGCAATTCCACAGCTTATTCAACTAATTCGTGTGCCACACATCAGCCACACATCTCCTTCAGTTTGTCAGTCTCTATCCAACGATTTGACATTTGACCGATTAAAATTGGCAGCTGTCATGATTGCGTTTATGCTCAAACAGATCTCAGCTTGCTGATTTTATGATTGCAGCACAAAAAATTGCTCACATTGCGTGCGAGACGCAGGAATATGTTGCCAACTTAATGAAAAGCTTTTCGCCGAACTGCCCTTAATTTGCTGTTGAACATCTATTAAACGGAACGCAAAAAACAAATTGTTCGCACATACATATATAAACATATATACATATATATAAGTACGAATATACTTGATGCTTGTTTATTGCGACAAATTCCATGCTGTATTCAATATTTCAGTTTTCACTCGCATCGCTTAATGAGTTCTTTGGTCGGCTCTTAATGTGCTTGGACAGCTAGAACGAGCCATGTCTTGTTATTTATATCTGTTCATAATATTTCTGCTTGTTTTCTGCTGCTGCTGCTGCTGCTTCTTCTACTCTCTTTTTTTTGTCAGTGAAAATGAAAATCATTTTCCACTGCGCTGCCAAGCAAATTAAATTATATTATGTGCATTTTTTTGTTGCTCAAAGTCTCAAGAGATTTTCCGCTCCGCTGTTTGCTCTTCGTGTTTTATGCAAAGGCGTCGCATAGACGCGCATTAAATTCAATTAAACGAACGAACAAATTGTATAATTTGAAATATTTCATTTCATATTTCATTTGATAAGAAGTGCTATAATGTAAGTGCAATCTATTGTTTTTTCCATACTTTGTCATTTGATTTATGGGCAGACATGTTGTTTGTTGCTTCCACATAACCGCAGACAGCCTTGTTCACGCCAAAATCTAATCCCAGCTTGTCAATCTTATAAGATATGCCAAGCAGGCAGTCAAACAGTCCGACAGTCAGGTAGGCAGTTAGCTCAGTTGACACCTAAACCAAATTAATACCAAGCTCAGCTCACAGCTTGGCGACTGCGGGTAGATCAGCTGATTGATTGATTTTGCCGGAGCGCAGTAATTTGCATTGGCTCACGACTTCGCTTCAAGTGCGATACATTAGCAGCCAAGTATCCGAACAGCTAATTTATGAATGCAAGACCATTCAGGCCACGAATTAGATGACTCGCACCGTGGGCTCCAGCTCAGCGCAGCGCGGCGTGGGTGTTGCCAGCGTATTTCGGCCTTAACAATGCCAAAACGCTGATCGTGTGGGTGACAAGCCGGGTTTAACAAATAGTCACAGCAATGACAAACGCCTCGTAATGGCACCAAATAATACATAAAGAAACCAAAACGCTTAAAGCTCGGCTCGAATGTCGATGTTTGTGTGCCATAGCCACTGCAATTAAGCCAGTTGCCTCCGGCCATAAACCAACTGCAGGCACACATTTGGCATGAACTCCACAAATGCCTTGCTCGGCCTTGAGAATTTGCACACAAAATCACTTTGCGCAAAACAAAAACACGCACATATCTATAGCATATCTCTGTATGTGTATCTGTATGTGTATTCAAGTAATTTCATTTATTTGATTTTTGTATTTCGCATACTTATTTTTATGTATGTATATTATTATTCCTTTGCCTGCGGTTAGACAGTTCCGAAAACAATTTTTGTAAAATTGTATAAAAATGTGAATTATGATAAACATATATTTATACATTTTATACATATATACATATATATCTGTACACATTTTCGGGTTCTTCGACTTTCTTTACTAAATTTTAAATGCGCCACAACGATTTGTTTGTATGTTTTATTTGTGTATTCAGATAAAAAAGCATTGCGGTTTGCATGCTGTTGCACATGAATAAAATTAAATTTTTAATATTATTTTAATTTTTTAGTGAACAAAATGTGCGTAAATATTGCTGGCAAAATATTTAAGTGTAGATGTATATTTTTTATGTAACACAGGTAAACAAAATATGAAAAATATTATGCAAAATATGAAAAATATAATAGCATTGATACTCCGTTTAAATCTTTTATTTTAAAATAAATAAAACAGATTAAAAATTTATATCAAACTCACTCCAAGATTTATTATTAGTCATATAATGTGTTAGCCCATACAACCTTTAATGGATATATGGCTATTAAAAGTAGAGCATGCAACATTCACATAAACATGCAACAGCAGACCAACAAGTTCATAAAATGAAATGACTGCGACAAGTACATAAAAAGCAAAAACAGTAAACAGTTGTTTACCTACATAAATTTTGGGTCATAGCCAGAAGAAAAGCAGCGTCAAGCGAAAAGCGTGAAAAATGATATCGACACAAAAATATTACCAAGCGAGTTTCACTCTCAAAGAAGATTGACAAAGTTTTCCGATTATCATTTAAAAGAC